AGTGTTAGACCACACAGAAACACACAGAGTTTTAGCTGATAATATATACTGGCTGCACCCACAAATGAAACAATCTCTACCAACTTGCAAATTGTGATAATACAATAATACAATACTAAGCCTAAATCACAGTATGTAGAACTACATGTCCAATGCCTTAGAGAAAAAATAAACAGTGATAAATTATCATTTCCCTGAATCTTCTTAAAATTTTTTCTGGAAACAGCCAAATCTTTGGCTGCAATATGGACAACTAGGTGGTCTGAGAATAAGGAGGACTGAGAGGGAGATTTTTTTTTTTACTGGATATCCTTTTTATCATTTGAATTTATACCATTTAAATGTATTATCTACTCAAAAGAAATACAATTTTAAATTTAGAAAATTCCTTGACAATCTCTTTCAGAAACCATATTCAAACTCCCTTTAATAACAACCCTCAAATAACAATTTCATTAAATACTGTACATCCTTTACACTTACACTGTAATTTTTCTCTAGTATATACATGTAATAAAACAGTTACCCAGTTGTTCCAGCCTAATTTTCTATCACCAAACATGAATTTAGAATATCAGCAATATATCATTTATGGTTCTTTTATGTTCTCCTTTCCACCACAGAAGTGCTAATGATTAACAAAATATAAATACACTTGCCCTCCCCCAAAAGTTAACAATAAATAACCACAAGGCAAATCACCAGAATGTATCTAATACCACTTATCTGTTAATCAAGGGCTGTCCAAAGTGCGGTTCCCCTACGAATGATGTGAATGGTGACTTTAGCTGTATGTGAAGTATTTTAACATATTTAATATAAGGTTGATTATACCTAACATACCACATCTATGACTTCACAATTATTGCCCAGAATGAGGATAAATCTACTGAAGTGAAACTGTGAATCTACCTGAAAAATAAAAGTGTGCATGTGTGAGTGAAGTTTGAGAAGAACCAGGGCATCATTCAAATGAGATCAAGGGCAGAGTGAGAACAATCACCAACAACATCAACTGTATTAAATCTTAGAGCACGCTCACAGGGAAACTCTCACTGGAAGGATGACTAAATGGCAACAGCGCTCTCCTCTTCCCTCAGTTAGGGAAATGCCATGTGGGGCAGTTTAGAGCAGATGAGCGAGATCTTAGGGGAGATCAGGCAAGCCCCCTTTGGGTAGAGTGCACGTCACAATCTGGAACAAGGGTGCTGCGAGTGGACCACGGTTGTCAATGGGTTTCCTTTGATGGTTGATCAGTTTCTACCACAAGCCATCCTAAACATCCTCACGTGGTATAGCTGTCTGCTCACAACTTTGGAAAAGAGAAATTTAAACATGAGAAAATGTAATTCAACCTCAAAAACTGACCTGACCCCCTGGCCCTCACTAAAGAACACTACTGAATCAGGCAGTCACTCACCAACAGTGTGACACAATGTTGGGGGATCTGTAGAGTCCTCAAGATTCTACTTTATTGATACCACATTCTTACAAGAATATCACCACAAATGAACCCAAAGAATGAGCTTATTATAACAAACCTAATTATAGAGGGTGCCAACTGGAGCCCCTCCACCAGGTCATGAGAAACCACCAGATCACTTGCCCAGACAGGCATATTCAGAGCTTTGAAAACTTCCTTTAAACTTGAAAATGGAGTTCCAATATGGAACTATATGGAGTTCAGTCCATATAGCTTTAAGAGGGGTATACTTAAGACTCAGTGTAATACCCACATTGTCTGCAGAGAACTTTAGAAATCATCTGCTTTGAAAAACACCATCTCCCAGACACCAAGGCATGATATCTGTTATCTTCATACAATAGAATATCACAAGAAAGAAGATTTTATTTTGAAAACTAGACCTAGTACTTGTGGTATTTATTTTTCTTTCATGTTTTATTGCTGCCTTTAGTCTCTTAGGGGCTTTCCTGGTGGCTCAGACAGTAAAGAATCTGCCTGCAATGCAGGAGACCAGGGTTTGATCCCAGTCTAGAAGATCCTCTGGAAAAGGGCATGGCAACGCACTCCAGTATTCCTGCCTGGAGAATTCCTTAGTTTCTTAATCCTATTCTTAAAGAATTAAAAAAAATCAAAGAGATTATCAATATAAAACTGCAATTTGTTAGACAAGAAGGTAAAAAATAGGCTGGAACGCCACAATTTACATCAGACTGTTTGAACAACACAGCAAACTCTGTGGCTAATACCCCTCTGACCATAAGTTCCTCGAAATGTCCCAAGCAAAGAGGTCTAACACACATTCCTGCTTCAGCAAGTTCTCAAAATTATTTTATCCATCTGGAATGGGCCCCAAATCCCCTAAAACGAAGTTCAAATCACATTCGCCTTCAGTTAATACACTCTCTCTCTCATGGAAGAAAGAAATTTTTTATAGTTTCTATCTTCTCTCTCTCTCTCAAACTCTGCAAGCCCTTAACATTCAACCTGTTCCCTAAAAATGAAATCATTCCTTCCACCTCTCCAAGTCTACACCCTTCAGCTACTCCTACCTTTTTCAGTCTTTGCATGTGAAGCATGTCCAACCCTTGGGACCCTATGGACTTTAGCCCACCAAGCTCCTTGGATTCTCCAGTCAAGAATACTGGAATGGGCTGCCATACCCTCCTCCAGGGGATCTTCCTGGCTCGGGGATCGAACTTGCAGCCCTTCTGTCTTCTGCACTGGCCGGCAGAAGCCACTAGCGCCACCTAGGAAGTCCCTTTTCAGTCTTTAAGGATACAAAAAGATTGCCTCTCCAGATAAGGGGCGGAGGCGGCACACCTTCAGCCCCCTTACTTAAGCAGCCACTCTCACCTCAATCTGTATTATTTTTCTTAAATCCTAGGCATCTAGTTTAACAATTCTATGAAACTGCTTGCAAAGAGGGTCACTGACTCCCCATAGCCAAACACCAGCTGACCAACGTCTCTAAGCCTGTCCTTTCTGTTTCTGCTGGCACCGCCAGGACCTCCGCTCTTCAAGAGGAGTTCAAGGCTGTGATTAGACCCTACTGTCTTTCCTCTGTGCAACCTAATGATCTGCACTCTCCTTTGTAGAAGGACACCGGGACACCATCTTAAACCTTACTTTGCTCCCAAACTCCATCAGTGCATCTTCAGCCAACAGGAAACATGATGCCCCTGATTATCTTCACTGGTTCTTCAGTTTCTCACTTGTCCCAAGCCAAGTTCACCAGAGCCTCCCCACGAGTCCCATCCTACCCCACATCTACCTCCCCCTTGCAGGCAGCCGTCCAGGCCTGCTCATTTTTCCATATTCGTATTTCAAGTCCTAACCCCACTATTGCAGAAGGCAATGTCACCCCACTCCAGTACTCTTGCTTGGAAAATCCCATGGACGGAGGAGCCTGGTAGGCTGCAGTCCAGGGGGTCGCCAAGAGTCAGACACGACTGAGCGACTTCACTTTCACTTGTCACTTTTATGCATTGGAGAGGAAACGGCAACCCACCCCAGTGTTCTTGCCTGGAGAATCCCAGGGATGGGGTCACACAGAGTCGGACACGACTGAAGTGACTTAGCAGCAGCAGCAGCAGCAGTAACCCCTCTATGGTCATTGGGTTTGCTTTTTTCCTGGAGTTCACAGTGACTGCGTGTCCAGGATGAGATGCTGTTATAACACTCCCTCACCATGGATGGGGCTTCCCAGGTGGCTCAGTGGTAAAGAATCCACCTGCCAGTGCAGGAGATGCAAGTTCGATCCCTAGGTCGGAAAGATTCCCTAGAGGAGGAAATCGAAACCGACTCCATTACTCTTGCCTGGAAAATTTTCCATGGAAAAGGAGACTGGTGGGCTACAGTCCATGGAGGCGCAGAGTCAGACACGACTGAGCACGCACCCAGGCACCATGGATGAGCACTAACTCTCGACTGAAAGCAGTCTGGGAAAGGAAAGTGTACGGGAAGGAAGGAGAGGTGGACAGAAGTTCAGCCAGCGCCACTGTCCTCAACCACACTTGCTCCAGGGTCCACATGTGACCCCAGCTACCAAACCTTATCAAAAATTTCTGTTCCACCTCTGAGTTGAGCAGGGCCCCCAAACTCCCCAACATAATCCATTCCATGAAGTCCATTATTTCTTGCTCAGAAGGAATCATCACTACAGATATGTTAACCTAAAGAAGACCAGACTTTTTATGTTATTTAAATAACCCAAAACCAAAGAATCCCACCCAGCTTCCACAAGTTAATTGCAGCTAAGTATCTTCCCCCAGGGCCTAGGGCTATAATAATAGAGAAGAAACACCTATTGAAAACCTGCTTTCTGAAAGGAAAACAAGTAAAAACTTGACCAGGTAACGCACATAACGAACAACTTGATCCACAATGGGTTTCTGGGGAGGTTGCCTCCTGTCTCATCGCAGGTTGCAACTGGGAGAGCTTAACAGTTTGATTTAGCTAGTTTCTTAGGAATCACATCAGTGCCGCTGCGGAGTTGAAAGGCAGGCTTCTTCTACAGAGAGTCAAATTAGGGAGTTGAAGCTGCGGCTGTTTTGTTAACTCACAGCTAAGAATAACATGCGAGTTTCTAATTTTAAAAAAATGAAGAAAGACGAGGAAAGTCAGTCCCTGGCTAAATGTTTGGGGCGAGGAGGAGGAGGGGTGGGGTTCTCTGCACTGACCCTCTCTTCGCCCCAATCCTCGGGCCCAAGGCAATTAACTAGGGGCGCCCATCCCAAGAGGGAAGCAGTTTGCAGGTGCGACGAGCCGGCCCCGCTCCCGGGTTCAACCCTGGATGGAACCCGGGGCTCTAGAATTGGTTTCCAGATGGGTTCGCGCTCACTTTTAATTAACGAGGTCGGGGTAGGTTCGAGACAAATCGGGGGGAGAGGAGGAGGAAAAGTCACAGGGGCCTGGGGATCTCGGCGCCCCGGGGAAGGCCGGTCTGGCCGCCCGGAGGCACCCTCCTGGCCCGCCTGGGCCCGAGGGGCTCGGGGTGGGTGGGCCCGGTACCGCGCGACCACCCGGGCCGTCTTACCGTGGCTCTGCAGGATCTCGTGCTTGAGGCCGCCCGTGTAGTCGATGAGCTCCTCCAGGCCGCGCTCGCACAGTTGCCCATAGCCCGAGAACTTGTGCAGCACCTTCTCCAGCTCGCGCTCCACCGTCACGCACTGATCCATCCCGGAGGCGGCGGTGGCGGTGGTCGGCTCCCCGGCTCCCGAGTGTCCGCAGCCGTTCGGCCCGGGCCCGGCCGAGGCCGCGTCCTGCTCCTCGTCCCCCAGGCGGGCGGCGCAAGAGGCCGAGGCGGCGGAGGCGCTAGCCCCGGCGCCAGAGGAGCCTCGAGAAGCCCGCGCCCGCCTGCCCCATAGCGCCCCGGCCCCGGCGCGTATCCGCTGCTCTCGCTCGCTGGTCCCCCACCCGGCCCTGCACCCCGGCTTCCCCGCTCGCCGCGTTCGACTGCCCGCCGCGGCGCCGCCGATTGTTTTTGTTTTCACGGGAACGGACCGATGACCTGGTTCTCCCGGGCGGCACCAAGCGCCACCGACCCGAGGGGGGCAACCACCCTAGCTAGAGAAGGAGGCGGCGCGGGCCGTACCAAGCGCACCGTCGAGGGGGGTCAGCCCGGCGAGCACGAGCAGAGGAACGCATCCGCTCGCGCCGCCGCTCTAAAGGTGTGGGCCGTACCACGCGGGAGGCGTGCGAGGGAGTGGGAGAGGGTGGAGCCAGCGCCTAATTGGTCCAAAGAGCTAAATTGGGAACTTTAGAGACAGCCCCAGAGCTCCGAGAGCGCTACAACTACGCGCTCCGTAAACAAGTGGGTGGAAACCGGCCCTAACGACTCCGCCCAGAAACGGGGAAAACGAACCAATGGGCGCCGGGAACACGTAAGGACCCAACGTCCTCCAAACCCTGGCCGAGGCGTAACCCTTCAGCCAATCCGGGACTAAGGGCCAAACCAATAGACTCGTTGTTGGAGGGGGTGAGTTGGAGAGCCTCCCGGGAAGCTAGGTGTTTTGGGGAAGCCATGAGGGAAAACAGGGCAGAAATAAAGAGGTCTATTTCCTGTAGGACTTCGCCCTAGCCTTGTATTATTTCATCTCCCCATCACTCAAGGGGGTACGGTCGTTCCGAAGTTTTGGAAAACGGCTTCGCCGCCCCGCTTGGGGGCGGGGGGGGGGGGGGGGCGGAAATCCAGCCAGGCCGGACGGGGTGGGAGGTGCTACAGGCGAGGGTCTCTAACGAGAATGAAAGGCGGCGGTGGTTGTGGGGCAGGAGAGGGGGGGTGCCTGGTGGTCGGGCGCAGTGCGCGGTGCTCCCTCGACTCTTGCGACACTAGGAGGTCACACGCCTCGCCCCCAACTCCCCCCGCAGGCCTCGCCCCTTTGGCCCCTGGGCCTGGAGCCTCTCCTGACCGGTTGCTTCACCCCGCGTGTAAGACGTGTAGCTTCGCGGAGAGGAAACTCGAGTCGGAGGTTGGGGGAGTCTGGCCCCTGCCTCTTCGGCGCCTTATTCCATTGAATAGATTGGAGTTATTATCCCTTTGCGTAAATCCTTCCCTGACTTGGCGATGGTGCCTCCAACCTTGGCCTATACCTACTCGCTGACTGAGCTGCAGCTGAGGACGAGCCAAGCTACTGCTTGCCTCGGGGCCTCTGTACTTGCATTTTCTTTGGCCTGAAAAACTCTTCTACCTTCTCATCCTAAAATTAGCTCCCTTGTCCCACTGAGGGTCCTCCCCAGACCGCACTACTGTATTCTCTACCCAGCACTCCCTCCATTGCTACGTCATTGATTGTAATACCAATTGTATTATCAGTTTTATTCTTTGCGCACCATTATTAAAATCTGAAATAATCTGATTCAATTATTTACTTTTTTTTTTTACATAGGTGAGCCGTTATTCATATTGAATGGCTTATTCTTTTTCATTTTTATTTAGTATATTATCATTTTAGCAAAAGCAGCAGCATTTTAACAACTTAAAATGTTATTCTGAAGATTAGGTGACATAATAATTTCTTTAATCTGAAAATTAAACTCTTCGAGAGTTGGAAACTTTTAATTCAGACAATCAACTAATAAATACCGATTCCCCGGATTGTTCCAGTTGTAGAAGGGAAAAAATGCTCACAGCGTGCTTTTATTTTTAGTACTGATGTTGGGGAATAATTTATATCCCATTGGTTCTCAAGTAAAGAATGCGAAATGAAATAAAAAAGATTTCTCCTAGTTTTATTCGTTTACTTTTCTGTCTGTAGCTCTTCAATAAATTTCCAATAAGGCAGCCCCTTGCTTGTGTTTTGTGTGCTGGAAACAGTGCGTGGAGACATGGTGTGCTATCTTCTTTTTTTAATTTAGGTAAAATCTCATTGAGCCTCAATTTCCTTTTTTTATAATTCGGAAGTAATTAGGATTAATAATACTTAACTCCATTGTTAGGAAAGTTAAGTGAGATAATTTATGAAAACACCCAGAAAGCAGCACATGATAACCACATGATGAATGGTGGAGGTGTTTGTTACTACTGATGTCAGTTCCCAGGAATAAATAAGAGAGGGCAGTTTAGTCAGGGAATCATGTTGATCTTGCACCCAATCCTTTATTTCTTGGTGATTCTCAAGGGCAGCCCCAACTGTGGCTGTTAAATACCTCCTTTCTCTTCCCTCCCTTGCCCATTTTCCTTTCTCTCTTTCTTGGCAGGTGACCCTGAGTCCTGCTTCACTGAGAATCCTCTCCTCAAAATATGTCTATTGATACCATCCATTTTGTGAACTGTTGTCAAGTATCAGAAGGAAGAAGAGTCCCTTCTCTCTTCCTAAGCTGTCACCTGACCTGGTAATGTAGGGGGAACCTTCATTTAAGCCTTCTCAATCTGTTTCCCTTTTCCTCAGTTCTTTCAAGGCCAAACTGCCCAAACAAATCCTCTACATGTGCCCCTCCTGTTTCTCCAAGGATCACCTTGATAAGCTCAGTCATCCTTTTCTCACTCTTGTTTCCCTTGATCTCACCGCAACACATGAGAATTACAACTCACTATCACCTTTAAAGTCCTTCCTTGATCTCCAGGGCATTGCCATGGTATGGTTCAGTCGCCCCTTCTCTCTTACTGGCTCTTCTTTCTCATTTATTCACCTATATGGATGGGCATTTGCCCCAGGTTCTGTTCTCAACCTTGTTTTCTCTCTACCTGCTGTCCTGTGAGAGCACATTAAAATTAAAATTGTCCTGATCTGTTCTCATAAACTAGCTTCACATTCCCCCCAACTAGCAAGACATCATCATCCAGGGAACTCGTTACCTCCAACGAACATGTCAAAAACGGAATCCATATTTCCCTTCCAAAACTGACTCTCCTCTTGACTCTTCATTTTTTGTCAGCATTACCGTTACTTTCCCATGTTCCTATGCCACCTCACCATCTTCATCTTTAACTTACCTCTGTGTGTGTGTGTGTGTGTGTGTGTGTGTGTGCTCAACTGCCCAGTCGTGTCCAACTCCTTGCGACCCCATGGACTGCAACCCACCAGGGTCCTCTGGCCATGGGGTTTCCCAGGCAAGAATACTGAAGTGGGTTGCCATTACCTACCCCAGGGAACTTCCTGACCGGGGACTGAATCCATGTCTCTTGCATCTCCTGCATTGGCAGGCAGATACTTTACACTGCACCACCTGGGAAGCCGTTAACTTACCTCTAGGGTTCTTGAAAACCTTTTCTTCATCAGATTCCTTGACTCCATTGACCTGTTTCCATTGCCACCTATACCCTTCTCTGCTGGTGTCCAGCCTCGGCAGGATCCAGGGGGTACCCTCGGGATGAACGGCGTCGGCAAGAGAAGGCACGTGAGACCAGCCTTGATAGGGCCAAGTCTGCGAGGGAGAGAGAGAGAGAGAGAGAGTGACCAGACTGGGGGTGTGCAGCAGAGTTTGGCAATGCTTTATTTTTTACTGTAGCTTTTATACCCTAAGTTAGTACATTTCTGAGGGGAAGATAGTTTAACATTACATCAGCTTGTTCTTCACGAAACCAGGGTGTTTTCTGCATAGTTCTTTGTTTATGAGGGTCTTGTACATTATCTTCTGACCTTGGGGCCTATTAACATTTTATGCAAGTCAGGTGAATGTAAACCTATTTTCTGTTTCTATGGTGACCTTAACTGAAAGGTAGCAGTCTCATAGGGCAACAGTACAGAGTAGAAGTATAACCTCGTTAACACAAAAATTAATCCTTCTGCAGAAGTTGTCAGTTGAGTTTATCTAAGAAGTTTACTCCACACTGACTCTGTGACTTTGGTGAGGCAGCCCCTGCCTAGCACTGCTGACTAACAACAACCATTTCATTGTTACCACACTAGGGCTAAGCTCTTATTTTTCTAGATATAACTATATTAACAATGGTTTCCACAGCACAACCTTAGCACATTAAAAGCAAAACACAGCAAGCAAACATCAACCCAATAACCACCTTTAGAATAATTTTTCTTATGTTTTCTAATAGGACTCCTTCACCCCTCAAAAAGGCTCTAGGTCTATTAGGGCTTTTATATAATCAGGTTCTTTATGTTATTTTATGATTAGGGTATTATAAGCAATCATGCATATTAGTACCAAGGGCATAAACACATTTGCTAAACAAACTAAAATACCAGCAAAGGAGTTTAAATTAAAACACTCCTTTCACCCTAGATAATCGCATAAAATACCACCACCCGGGAAACTTATTGATTAAAGTTATAAATTTATTCTTATTTGGGAAGAGATCAGGGAAGGCCTTCTGTCTGTGTCACAGAAATTAGGGAGTAGTCTATTGAAGCAAGCATCAGAAAGACAGATATCATCTTTAAGGTGAGCGCCGGGGGCAGCTTTTCGGAATCCCTGAAAACCTGATCCACCTTGCCTGTCAGGTTTTCTCCTCATGACCTTGTCATGGGTGGGATCTCGTGAGCTGGCTCCTGGCATTTCTCAAGATCCCTTCACTAAGTAACCTGCCTTCAGTCACCCCAGAATTATTGGTGCTTTCCAGGTGTCCTCATCAGTTTCCCTAGGGATACAGATTGTCTCACTCCCTTTTCCATTCACCCTCCACATTTTCTCTGCATGCTCTGTATTGAGTCTAACTTCCTAATGTCTAAAATGAGGCTTTTCAGTTTCTACTTCCTTCTCCTTCGTTGTGCTTGGTTGC